GAAGGGAGGGCCTCCTAGCATGAGACAAAAATGACATGAAATTCTGAAATTTGTCGAAAACCTCCTGGGGCCAGTCTTAACCTTTCTCTGAAGCAGGATCCCTGGAGTTACCAGAGTAAGAAACAAAACTCAGCCACTGGTCCCCAGGTGTGGGGGCACATTCTGCATCTTGCAGATTTTTAATGGCACAGCTGTATGAACCAGAAGATTTTTAACACTTTTTGGGGAGGACGCTGACTTGCAAGGAGTCCTGATTATCCTTACGCTGTGGGTCACACACCAGCAGTTTCATTGCCAGCTTGGAGAATTAAACCTGATTAGATTTGGATGTGTCCATCCAGGTTTTACTTTTGTTGTGGTAGAAAAGACTGCAGTCACGCCATCATTTTTCAGTTACTGTCCCTAAGTGGTTTGCAGTGAGATCAGTTTCAGAAGCACCAACTTCCAGTGCATACCAGCATGCTCTGACTTGCAGTACTGGTGCTGGTGAACTCATTTAACTGTTAATTGGCTTGAATGCACATAAATTCCTGTTGTAATGAACAATTACGAGAGCTTCAAGGGAGGGTCCAGATGCTCACACAGGACTGGAGTGCAAGGAGATGCACAGTAACCACCACATCTCCTACATTTCCTCTCCGAACTAAGCTTGTCTTTTCTTCAGGTGTAACACCAGACATATCTGATTTTCTGCCTTAGAGCTGACAAAAGCAGCAGAATATAAATGACTGAAGGGGTCTCGACCAAAAGTATCATCTTCATTATGCCTATTAAATCATGATGGATACAGCTTCTGGGATAATTATATACAAATGAACAAAACCTACACAGAAATATGTAAAACAATTGCACCTCTATGAATCCACTCAAGTACGCGAGCCTCTGCAAAGAACAAAGACTAATGAAATCTGACATTAATCTACATTAAAGATTCAGTGATTCAGTTTATTTGCCAAGGCTCAATGATGCATTAATCCTCATCCCATCCCACACACACTCACACGTTTCCTCCCCGGCTTTTCTCCCTTGCTCCCTAAATTCTGAAACAGCAGACAGCTGGGCTGCTCAAGGCCTTGTCTGAATCCAGAAGTTATCTTACTTTAAGTATGCAATTCTCCTTGTGTGGTTACAGTTATTCCAGGACACGCAAGCCTCCACCAACAGAGCCTGGAAAAGGCAAGGGTCTTGTCTACACTGTTTAAACTAGGATACCTTCCGGTGAGCACAACGGTGGCTTATACCAACAATATACAAAATACAATATACACAGGCTTATACCTGTGGGCTCACAGCTTAGCAAGGTACCCTGATTTGGTCACAGCAGGCATTGCACAGCTATCATTTTGGTAAAGAAGCAAAAATCAAAAACCTTGATCAAAACCATTATAGCACTACCAGTTACATGAGCAGACTCACTTCTACAGGAAGACTGGTTAAGAAAGCCTGTGCATGTAAAAAAATAAGCCCAGTCAGTACAGGCAGTCCAGCAAAAATCCCTGGGTAGATACAGTCACATTTCCTCTAGAGAGAACCGACCTGCATAGGTTTGCCAGCAAAACCCCCTGAAGGTGCAAGCAAGATCTGACCTCTCTTTGTAGATCATGCTTAGAAACTCTCCTGTAACTCCTTACTGTGCCTGACAGAGAAACTCATTCATCCTTCTCCATTTAACACTGTATTTCTGTGATCTTCCCTTGCTGGTAACCTTCCATGTGCAGAATCAATGTTTAACCACGTGCAGCAGCTGAGAGCTTGTTCTGCTTACAACAAACCACCTTCAGTGTTTTACAACCTCGGCATCACCGCATCTACTGCCATCAAGCATTATCTAGCCTAGCTCTCACTGTAAAACTTTTTATGATTATGTGTGCAATGCTGTGCTGTCATAACAGTATGCAAACCCCATGATTTGTAACTCTTCCAGCAATAACAATCTTTCTTGCAGATCAGCATCTGAGAAACAGCTTGCAAGTTACATGACACTGACCTTGAATTACACTCTACCCTGCTGAACAGGAGAGGTGGGTCCTTGTTTTAGGCCATGTAGAAACTGGGGAGATGTCACTTCTTGCAGGCAGAAAGCACTACCTCTAGTCTCTCTGCACAAACATTTCACCAGAACAGCACTGAGAGATCCCAAAAGGCTTGGCCAGGGAAAATTAAAATCTTAGGTGAGGTAAATCACTAAATTCACATGGAACCATGTGATACGTCCCACAAAGTGGGAATGAACACCCAACACTTGGAGCCTGCTGGTGGAAGGAAAATGGTCCTTTTCCACAACCACCACCTCTTTTTTTCCTTAACCACCTCTTCGGTATCTCACTAACGTGAGTGGCACTTAAGCAGAAGTTAGCTACAGATTCTGCAGGGCCCCAAGAGGAAAATGCACAGAAAACACACTATTTCTTTCATTTCCTTAAGGGGTGGCAAAGGTCCCACAAGAAACAGCCAATCACACAGCGAGACAATGGACCCTCTAGGCCAAGACTTCTTACACATACAGTCTAGTTTCAAATCACAGTACACAACAACAGGACCAAGAGGACACCATCTTCACTCCAAGGTGTCGTGGTTTAGCCCCAGCCAGCAACTAAGCACCACGCAGCCGCTCACTCACTCCCCCTACCCCAAGAAGTCCCTGCTGGCTGGAGGAATGGTGAAGCCTGCAAGAACATTAAGGTCACAAGACAAATGTTGCTGCCCCTCATTTGTTTTGTGATGGTGTGACCAAGCACCAGCTCTGCAGCAGGCTCTTACAAGCTAGGTACTGCAGAAGCTTCAGAAGAAGTAACTTCCTATCTGAAATACTCTATGATGTGCCAATCAACCAAAACGAAAAAGCTAAAAAAGCACTGGCACCTCACCTCATTACCATGCACAAAATCCTATCCCCAGCTTGCCTTGGCTAATTCTCCCCCTGGTCTAGTGATCAAATTCAGCAGCTGGAGAGGATGGTACCAACTCACCTAACTGAAAAGGCATACCTGCACGTATTTGAAGGTGATTGCAGTGAAGCCTATAAACATACTGAGAGAAGAAAGCTCTCGTGGTGTGGGCTCACACAGCAGAAGGTAAACAGCTCTTTTCCCCACACAGCTGTACTTATGGCAAAAGAGGGACATGGAATACTACTAAATGCAGACTACTGTAAAGGCATATCTTAAAATTCATGGACCTGTCAGATGTTGCCCCAGGAGGCCCCTGCATTTTCAGAAGGGCCTTTCCATGACAAAAGCATCTAATGATAGGAAAGCCTCACTGAAGGCGATATGGACTGCTACAGTAATTGTAATTACCCTGGTCTTAGTTCCAGCTCCTCGATATCAGAAGTTAAAATGCCCTTTCAGAGTTGGTCCCTGCGCCAGATTTGCTAGAGGAATTCTCTGTCAGCAAAGGGGAAGACCTATCTGTTCCCTTCAGAAAGGAGGTTGTGGTGGACATGTAATCTTTTGTTGTTGAGTGGTTTCACAACAGAGCCTTTGCAGAAGTCAGCCTGCCCTCTCTTGATGCTCTACAGAAGAGTTCAGTCCTCTCCTGCCCTTGGACAAGGGACACAGCCATACACAGACTCAGAGGGTGCAGCCTTGCAAATTCAATCTCAGACAGAAAAGCACCACTGCAGCCCAAGACCAAACAGCCTCAGGGTCACTGAAATGGCTCCATTTACTTTGCCAAGAATTCCCTGCCTTGGCAGATTTCCCCTTTTTCCAGTCTCTGACCGGTACTGAGTTGCAGGCTATAACTATCAAGTTCTAAAGTGAGAGGGCTTGGCTGGCTTTATACCCTAACTAATGAGGTACACAGAGCTCTAGTGCGAACCTCTTGGGCACAGCCTGTAACTTGAGCTACTCAAGTCAAAATCACAAGCCCCAGAGCTGACACTGCCAGAACACACAATTAACAACACACCATGTCATATTCAACTGACTGCCACCAACGCACTGCACAACAGCATGGCCTCCTGGGTCACTTCAGTGCCTTGGATGTGAAAAGATGGAAGAGAAAAGAACAGACTCCTGAAGAGCAAAGCCTCTCAGAAATGACACCTGAAGCGCCCAGGATGCTATGTTGGGTAATTGGGACTCTTTTCCAGAAAACAGTCCATAATCTACTATGACATAAATCAGAAGATAAAATCAAGTGGGTGCCCTTTATCTGTGCTTGTGGCAACCTACTCACACCTGTATCATTGCTTTCATTGTGCTGCATCATAACCACCCATTTTGGCTAACTTTCCTAACATGGGTCCTAATCCCACCCTGGAATCTTGTTCTGGTTTTGCATTGCCATGAAACCAGCAAACAGGCGGTCAGAATCAGGCCCAAGAAACAGCTTATTGTCCACCTCACTCTTCTGTGTAATACCTCTGTAAAACACCATCCCTGCCACTGTTTTCCCGACTGGCTTGGCATGTATGTCGCTGGGAGGCTTCGAAGGCTGTTTTTCATGGCTGACCCTACAATCGTACCCCCCGTCTCACTTGAGGAAGGCTCACTGGCCACTGCCATTTGGTATGGGGAGTAGTTGTACAGGTTGTTATAGTAAGGATACAGGGACGGCTGGTAAAAACTGCTGTAGTAGGTGGAGTCCACAACCAAATCAGACGTGCTCTCCAAGTGCCCTCTGCTGGGGATGGAAGGGATGTCCTGAATGAGCATCCGTCCCTCTGGAAAAGAAAAAAACAAGCCATTATGAAACAAGAGGCTCCATGAAGACCACTCACCTTCTGATGAGCTATCACTTCTCCTGAAGGCTGGACTGAAGGTCATAAATAGGAAGAGATGGGAGCTGAAAGGGAAACATGGCTGGAGGTTTGGTGGAAACTCAAGCAGACAGATGTTCACTCAAAGCTCAAGACCACCTACAGACACCGCAGACTGCAAAACAGGAGACAAAACCAACTGCAGGTTAGGACAGTGCTCTGAGTCCTCAAGCAGCATCAGTTGATCTGATGATGATTTACACCATCTAAGGATGCAGCCTGCTATTATTTTTAAATTGTAACCATGTGCCAAGTTTCTCCTAGCTCCTTGGAAGCAGAAAGGCTCTAGCTACAGGATGACACCATTGCCCTGCAGACGACTTTTTCAACATGCCTCCAGAACGGGCAAACAGCCACAAGACCAAGAGGAAGCTGCAGTAGAGAAAGCACCACACGATCAGCCAAGGTGTCTCAGGTGCTAACTCTGAGCAGCGAGACCCTCAATCCCTGCCCAACCTCCCAACTCAAATTTACCACATGTTCACCTACAGAATCACAGAGCAGAACAAGCTCCTACACCACTGGCAAAAGAGGAGGAGGAGGGGATTGTTCATGACTTGCTGCCTGCGCTCTCGGGTGCCTCCAGACCGGAGGCCAGACAGCTGCACTCCCTGCAGGCTGCCCCTGCAAAGGTCTGCCTCCCGTGTCGTTCCCAAAGATGGGGGGCTTCTCAGAGGCTGTTTTAGGGTCCCATTTTCCTCACTCTAGTGCCAACCGGTGCTTTGCGATACTTGCAAAGATGAAAAAGCAAGGCTCGTGTCAGTACTGTTTTATAGCCAAGCTCTCTCCAACACACTGCATCACGTACCTGGCTGAGCCAGGCACAGCAAAAAACTGCCACAACCTTAGGCAGTCTAACTGCACAGTGAATATACATTTATATATTAAACGAGAGAGCAACCATAAATCCCACCATCGATGCAGCCCTGGTTCTAGCTTGCGTCCTTGTAACCCTTGCCCTGCAACAACCCTTAAGGGTGTTTGCAGCACAACCCTCCCTTCTGCAAGAAGCTCCTGCTCTTCCCATGATGTTGTCTAACTCCACCATTGAGGAGAAAAGGATGCGACTTAAAGCATACTAATGAGCTCTCAAGGGCTATCAGTATGGAGATGAAGCAGCACAGACAATAGGCATGTACGAAATAACAAGTCTAAGAAAGATATCAGGCAGGCGTTGCCCAGTTTATTTTGCGCCTTTCTCTTGGTATATCTGTACCTTGATTACTCACCTGCAAAATGAATACGGTGGTATTCACCAGCCTCTCACAGTCACAGTAACACCTTTCACTGTACTGTGTTTTAATTGCACACTAGATCCAATGATCAGTTTTACCAATTATTGCCATTTACAATGCAATTCTGTTTCACTTCGTCAGCTGTAATGAAAGCTCTCTGCAATCATGGATAGTCTCCTTCCAGGTCACTAAATTATACAGTGCCCCCATTCAGCTCTTGCTGACATTTTGTTGACATCAATGAACTATACCCATTTATTAGCAAACAGAGCATTTTATGCCTCCTGTATCTGATTTTTCTGCCCCTCAGCCCTATGCAAGCAAGAACTAGCCAGCTGGCCTTTTCATTGGGAGTACCTCTCAAATTTGCACACAGAACAGAGAAGTCTGCAGTGCCACAAAAGACCCTTCACAGTTTTCGCACTTTCATATTTTAATGAAATTTTAGTATTGCTATCATTCCGCTGCTGGGCAGGCCTCTCTGCAAAGTCCTTTTGTCTGTGTCTTTGACAAAATCAGAACTTAGACCACTGACACTGAAGGGCCAACAGTTCTGTTAAATCACAGCATGAGCCCGACTCCCCTCCCCAAACTTAGCTCCCAAATAATGCTACGGTCCAATTGTTCTGCTTTTCATGCTGAAAATTAGAGCCAAAAGCAAAATCCTCCAACACGTTCCCTGCTGGGATACAGATTTCACATGAGACGAGATATGCAAGGCAGCCGGCCACTTAAATTCTGGCAGGGCTATGCTATGCTGCACAGATGTGCAATTTCTTCTGAAATCTCTGCAGTGTCTTTCCACTTGCAGTGTATCATAAGAAGGGATAATACTTTCTGCTAAGAATACCAGCACCAGGAAAATGGGGCCTTGTTATACCCACACAGGAAGGAGAGCCACCCTGAGATGTCAGCAGCTAAAAGGAAAGAGGGGAGAAAGTAGCAGGCTTTGCTGCAACTTTTGGAAAGGTCTCATGCACTACGCTTCCTAACATGTAATGGGCTAGACTAGAACAGCGACCTGCTGGCAGTCATTCCCAAAACCATACAAGCATCCTTGATGTCTCTGTTACGTTCAAGTAGCTGGTAGTGCTACAGCTCCTTCCTGAAGAAACAGCAGCCATGGCAGTCTTCTGCTGCATTAAGTAGGAGACAGACATGCTTTTTGCCCTTTCTTCTCTCTTTCTACCTCCTATGTAGGTTGTTGGGGCCACCATCATTTGCCACTGGAGGTGTAAAAGGGTTGACTTGCTGCCACCCATTTTCCTTTCTCTAGCTGCACAACAGCTGCCAGTGGTTCAGTGCTCAGGGCTGTTACGAATCCACCATGGTACTCTGCTTTCTTTCTGCTGTCCTTCCACTCTCCAATAGCCTCTACAGTACTACCAGCTGTGCTCTTAAGACTCAATGCTGAGCCAGTCACCTGCTCATTCACCCACCCATGCACCCACGCACATAAATCCCCAGACGTCAACAGCCCTGACAACCCTTCTGAGCCATAGCTGCACCACAGGAATGTGCCCCAGAGGATTAGCAGAAAAAGCAGGAGCCATGGGAAAGGTAAAAGTTCGAGTGAAGGGACAGACACACCCAACGGCGCTGGAAAGATGGCCCGTAGAGTTAATTTTTCCTAAATCCCAAGCCACATCATGCTCCTGAAGATGGAAGGACTGGCAACATCTGGCAAAGACCAGGAGAAAGCTGTCACATGCTTCAACTCACACTTTCCTCCAAACTTAGGAGATTAGTTTTTCTTTGATGTCACACTTTGGGACAAGTCTCTGTTTTTTTTTTTCCTTTAGCATCTGGAGGTGATTCAGTGCTTCACCCAGGAGAAGGGAGACATCTCATACAAGACATAGTTTAGTGCCATCCAGACTGTGGGCGGATGTCATGTCAGACCAGGTCAAAGCATCCCAGGGGTTACTCTGAACTCCTCACAGTCTTGAACCAGCCAGCTTGAAGGAAGGATGCCGCTGGGGAGCTGAGTTGTTGCAGATCTTCAGCAACGCTGGCATGCATTGGGTCAAGGGCAGGTCTGTGGTCCAGCTCTATGCTCTTACCCCATCCAGCCTGGCTGAATTATGTCATCTCCTACTACTAATGAATACATCATACATACATATACAACACTTACAGAACATACACAACTGTAAATACATTAAGGGCAAAGAGTTTTGCTATTAATGGAGAAAACCCTGAAAGTCTTGACTTTTTTCTGAGCGATGAAAGCTCAGGAAGAAAAGCAGGTCAGACCAGCCAGCATCTACATGGGGTACCTTCAAAGAAGTGCTAAGTGCCAAGGGGAGCAGAATTAAAGGCCAAAGAACTCTGCTAAACTGTCTTAGGGATAAAACAAGGCACTCCAAGATCTGCCCAGAGAAGATTTCATGTTTATCGTATGCCCAAGGGAGTTTTTGCCCTATCCATGCCAGTTTTCTCCACCTGAAGTCTGCTAGCGGGCAAGCACACTGCTTCTGGGCTGTGGCATCCTCAGGCACAGCCACCACTTGCAGAACAGGGCAGATCTATTGGAAGCCCTGGCTATAACTGAACTTTAACTGGGGTTCCTCTGGTTGGTCTTCGGCCTGTACCTGTAATTCTTGACTCCTACCTACAGGTTGAACTTTCCCAGAGCCTTGCCTCTGGCAACTCAATAAGCAAGGTTCCCCCCTCAAGGGAGGCTCTCAGCCTGTGGCTGCATTTTCCACAAGCAAGGAGAGAATACCAAGGTTAAGAAAGCAGCTTTCAGCTGTTTGGGTTTTTTTTCCAAATGTAATTCAACACAGCTGAATGGCTCTGCTGGCAAGGAGAGGCTCCTCCCCTGCCTCAGAGTTTGCCGCATTTACAACACCTGCACATGAGGGGCAGCCCTGAGGTTCATTGCTCTAAGGGGAGCAATTTTCGAGAGGAATTAAGCTCTCAACAAGGCAACTGCTGCTGCACGTCAGACTCCCACTCTGCCCCTCCACCTGCCCTTTAAAATAAGAGAGCTGCTGCAGGAGCTGGCCGCATGCCTTGGCTGTCTTCACCCTCTACATGGAAAAACTGGGAAGGGCTCCTGGGTCTTCCCCCTGCCACTAGCCACAAATTTTAACATTTTGCAAGTTGCAAACAAGACACGATTAACTGAATGTGTGCAAGAAGGAACAGAAATTAGAAGAGCAAACCAAAAACGGAGTGGTTAAAATTGTCAGGTTTTGGAACACCAAATCTACAGTGCAGGGCTGTCAGGCTCTCCAGGCGCAAGCAGCGCTCTTGCACTGAGACAACAGTATCCCTTCATGCAGTTGTGCCCTTGGATCTCTAAGCTCCTTTCTATGTCTTTATTAATTCCTGTAGAGAACTGATGCTACTTTTTTTGCACTATGTACACAGTGTGAAATATGGCCCACTCTTTCATACAAGATCAATATGATGCACGATAAATACTGTTATTGATCTTGCAGTGTTGTAGACGACTCTCCAGCTCAATGGCATATTAATAGTAGTTAACCAGTAATTCATTTTAGGTCGGCTGGGATTTTCTTATAAGGAAGGTGAGTTCTCGGGGTCAGTTACACATATGGGTCTTACACATTCAGTAACCTATGAGGGGCTCTGGCCTTCGCTCAGCAGAGCATGGTGAAAAACAGTGGTCCAGTCCTCAGTTAATGTAAACCAGTCTCA